CCCCTCGGTCCCGCCGAGATGCAGAGTTATGCGCCGGCGATAATACGGCCGCGTCACGTGCAACGGAGGTCGGAAGTTATTCCCTAACGTTCCCCTGTTCCGGCGCCTGGTCGATCGCAAAAAGCTGGCGGATACGGCGCGACACGTATGCACGCGTCGTTGCCTCCAACGAAATAATTAGCGTCCCCCGTACCGCGTGTTTTTAAGCGGGGTTGAGTTAAACAGTGTAAACAGGGGAGTTTAATGTTTGCGCGAACAACAAGAAATTATGGAGATTTTCATAATCAACTCGTTCTCGAGGAGACGGGTCGAAACGCGAAGATGAGAAAAAAAAAAAAAGTATTCACTCCTATGCTTCTCTTTTGTCCCGGAAAAGAAAGGAAAGGAAAGAAATACGGACGTAATGGAATATGTAAAAATATGTAAATACGTAAATTTCCTGGAACAAATATTTTTACTTAGTTCAATATTTATGTATAAGAATTCACGGAAATGGAAACTCTTTTTTTTTTTTTTTGTTGTTCTTTTTAAATACTTTAATAACCTAATAAGCAATTCTCCATGGTCATTCAGAGTTGTAACAAATTGTTAGAGACGCATACTCGAACGCGCGCGTTAATTTCATGCACGGTGTATTTTCGTGGCCGCGGCATTGACAGGAACGAAGCTACCATGCCCACGGGGGTTTCGAGCACCAACGGCATTATGCATACCTAGCTCGCGACGTTATATGTCGTATATCATCCGCGAGGCGATGTGTAAGCCGACGCGTAGACTGGATCATTGCGTGCAAACGCCATCGCGAAAGCGTCGAAATGACGTATGCGGATTTGTACGATCGCCGGTTGTCGGCTCGAAAGTGGTTGAATTATTTCCTGGCACGTGGCGCGATTCCATCGTTACATCCCCCTTGTTGCACCACCCCCTCCATCTCTTCCATCCCTCTTGCTGAAACCTTTAGCTGAAAAGTTGTTGCACACCCTGTCGCGAAATTTATATTTTGAAATTTGAGAAAGAGAAATGAACTCGTCGAACTTGATAAAGGAAGAAAGTATTTTTTTTTTTTTTTTTTCTTTTCTTTTTCGACGCTATGCAACGAGGCTTGCGTTTATATATTTCGATATAACGAGATGTACAATCGAAACGTACGATCTACGAAATACGGCCGAGCTCTTCTATCGTATCTCGTGTACGATAATAATCTCGAGTTAAGACATCAAGATCGTTAGCGTAGTCAGGATGTATGCTTTAGAAATGCATTGCTGTATAGCGACACGAAATTCCGACTTTTCGAAATTTCAACGTATAATATTTTTAATGCTTTCTTCATAGGGGTTGGAAATATTCGTCTCCCCTAAAATTGTTGTTTTCGGATAATAATTGCGACCTGAAACGAGCGATATAATATAAATAGTACAGATTATTGAAATCTCTTCGACAAATTGTAAAATGTAAAAAAAAAAAAAAAAAAATTTGGACAAAACCGCCGTTCTGTTTTGAAAAAATATCGGCAGAACTACCCTTACCGAAAACATTTTGATCGATTTTTTTTATTTTTTTTTTCTATTTTTTTCCTTTTAACAAACTTCATCCCCGATTAATATTAAAACGAACCCTCGAAAAACATGGATTTTCATCCAGTTGAAATTCCCAATTGCGCCCCGATTCTTTGTGAAAATTTTCCGCATGCGGGGATAATCGCGAATTATCGATGCTTTCGTCTCGATCCAATCAACTCGTAACCGTTCCCCCTCCCTCCCTTTTCAACGGATTATGGGTTACCGGAATGAACGGATGGAAATTTGCATTGGCGCTTCCGCGGTGGCCGCCGATGTTACAAACGCCAAAAAAAAAAAAAAAAAGGAAGGAAAAACGAAAAAAAAAAAAATGCAACGAACAAATATTTGCACCCGCATCGAATAACGGGACGACGGAACATCCATCCCCCTATTCGTCGATCTTCCTCCGTGCCTCGATTCCGTTATTAAGCAAACATTTACAATTTCCGTACTATTTCCCACGACGCGTGTCGTGTTTCGTTACCTGCCGCCAAACAGAGACATTACCCCCCCTCTCTCCCCCTATTAATCGCCAATTTGATCATCGACACCGGTTCGGCAAACGTTTGCCTAACGCGTGGAAACACACACACACACACACACACACGGTCATCGACGTCGATGCACGTCCAAAGTCACGGACGAGAACGCGTTCTCGAGTTTCTTTTCGAGGACGCGTCGATCTTTCGAAGAGAATTATATCGATGATCTCGACGAGGATGTAGGGGGATAAATATTGAGCAGCTTGTCCCTTGGGGGGAGGGGGAGAGGAGATGGCGTCTAGACGCTCTAGCCACCATCAGATCGGGTCGAATCGATGACGATAATAATACCACCCTCCCCTCCCTCCTTGGTCCTTCCTTCCCCCCGCGTTGCCACGACGACCGTTAGAACGCACAATTTTACTCGACTCTCGGTTCTCTAATAAACTCGGTTGGCGGTTGGTGTTGGCGAGATTGGGTCGAGATTGATTTCTTTATCGCGCTCCCTACGATGTAGCCTCTCTCTTTTATCCTGCTCGTCGAGGATCGTGATGACGCTTGATTTTGTTAATCGAGGAGAGAGGGAGAGAGAGAGAGAAGAAAGAAGAAAGATGGGGCGCGTGTATTTTCACCGATTCGGGAGAACTAGGGAGGGGAACGATTCGCGAAGGAGACGATGCTCGAGGGGAATGGAAAGTGTTGTTGGAAAGATGCCGTGTGGAATGCGCGTGCCGAGGATGGAAGACGGCGAGATAGTTTTCATTCAGGCAGATTTATTTACTTCTTCTTTTTTACGAGCCGACCATTCGTTTCCCTATTTACGCACCGTCGTTTCCCTCTCCCTTTCTCTTTTTTACGAGAGAGGGATAATACGAGCGCAACAAGCTCTTGATTCTCATTTCTATGCGAATTCGAGGATTGTTCTTGTATCATCTTCGAATCACACTTTTTTTTCACACGCGAAATCGTCAATTTCAGGAAGGAGAATTTATCACGTGATGCTTGCTCGGGAATCGTGAATAGAAATATTGATAATTATGGGCATAATGTATCTCGTACCATGTATCATTAATTAGCTACATATTAAACGTCGTTATAATTATATTATAATTATATACGAATTTGGGATAACGTTTATTATTTCGAAACGGTTCGTAGGATTCGTAGGAACAATTACGCGGGCGAAATGTATTTCTCTTAATTAAAGAGCCGACCTTCCATATTATTGTTTATAGCGGAAGCGGTATATAGTATAATAATTTTACTCGGCCAAATGTAATCCGGGATTGCCACACACTTTTTCCGCCACGCTCGTGAAAGCTCCGCCTCTGACACCGGCGATTCTTCGTGGAAAATGGCCAACATATGGAAATAAATTCCCTCAAAGACAAGATTCAAAAAGCCCTCCCCTCGTATATTTCATTACCGTACATTCTCGTAACTGGCACAGTCGTTTTTAAAAGCCTATCCTTTAACAAGAGAATGTTGGTTGTGCTCATTTTTAATCTATAATTTATTCTTTCTTTCCCAAACGGGTTTAATGATATTATTTTTTTTCTTGTAAAAATATTTTCGTGGCCATTTAAAAAATTTGTAACGAACGGAGAACACCGATATCTTTACACTTTTAACGTATCCAATTAAACGATTCCATCTAATTGTAAAATTGCACGGGTTTGCCATTTCGAAAAATTATTCGCAACGCGTAATATTTTATTTTAGCCGAGTATCGTAAAAATTCATATTAGGATCGGAACTTAATTCGATAACGATAAATGCTGCGCTCAGCTTTCAACCGGTACTGTACTGCATTGTGAGAAGGGAAAAATAAGCTTTCCGTAAAATTTGTCACCGCGCGCTTTCGACTAAATCGCAACTCCTTTGTAGGTGTCCGTTCCATTCGAGATCGCTATTTGTTCCTCGCTGTTACTATTTTCGAAGGGCATTCCTCCGCCCCGTTCCTTCCATTAAACATTGAACCCTTCCCTTTATGCGGTTTCTCGTCCCATTGAACGTAGTTTTGCAACGCTGCAAAATTCGATGCGAACATTTCGCTTATCGAGTCACTGTGCGAAATCTCGACCCCCTCTTTTGTGTACTCCCCCCTTTCTTTTTTTCCACGATCATCCACCATCGCGTCACGGATTTATACTCGAAAATCTTGGCGTATTTCTCGTATTTAGGAGAGGAAACGCGAATGCGGAAGGAAAGGAAAATGTTAACTACGAAGAATGTCAACGCAGGGGAAGAGGAAATTTTCTACATCTCTCGAATTTTCTCTTTGTAACAACGTTGCAACGTTTACAAACACGGGCCAAGGCACGAGTAGACTTTGACTCTAGCGCCACTGGAAAATTTATCGATCCCCATAGTGCTCGAGAATGCAGTGTCCGACCCACGTGCGTGGGTTTCGCGACGCTTCGTGAAACTGTAGACTGGTAGCAGGAAGTCGAGCGATCCTGGAATTGGAAACAATAAGCCGAGTGTTAGCCGCTCGAACGAGAATCAAATTCCTCCGACAGGAAGCAACCGCGTGTGTGCATCGATCTGTTGTAAAGGTAATTGTTTCTATTTATCTGTCTATGCCAGAATACTATTGGGTAATTGAGTTTAAAAAGTAGAATCATCGTTGTGGATTTTTGCTCCGTTGTAATATCCAATATCGTATTTTTGTATATTTTATGTCATTTTCATTAATGAAAATAAGATCGTTGCATTTCTGGGATGGAAGGTTCACGAAATCTCGATTCTTCGTATAAAAAAAAAATGAAAAATTGAAATCCATTTTTATCTCAATCGAGTGTCAAGATGTAAGGATTTCCATTGTATTTAAAACTGGATTACGAACGGGCTCATTGACCTATTCTTTTTTCTTGAAAATACTGCACTATCTTCTTCTGGGAATCGTGTTCGTCATCACGATGATATCTCGGGAACAGGAAGTCGTATCGAGATAAATCAAAAAACGTTTTAAAGGGCAAGATTCCGCTCTTCCAACGATCGTTGAACCAAACTCATCTCCGAACATATTCCAAAAATTCAAAAATTTTATCGATCGAGTTTTAAGATAAATTAACGCGATAAATGCCATTAACGATCTTACAAATTTGTTGGATTAAAACGAACAATATATTAAATATAAAGCACGTTCAACATTTCAATATTTTTGAAAAACACTTTTACCGTTTTATTAATCTGAATGGAGCAAGCACTGCTTTAATGCAGTGGCTCTGTTTCAAAATTTCCTGTCTCTTGTTCCACGTACGTGGCGAGGATAATCGAAAATCGATCGGCCAACTTCTATCGGGCAACGGTACTTGTACAGTTTAGTTCCAAACGCATCCATCTTCGTCATCGAGTTTTTCTTGCTTCTCGTGCGTGTACCGCGTGTTGTACGTTGCGCAACGAAAAAACGTTGTGTTTCCGTTGGATTCGACTCTCTGCAAAAACTTTTTACTCGTACCACTTTCGAGTGTAACCTTTTACGAGGATCCATTACCTTTCATTACCGCAGTTTCGTCAACAAAGGATCCAGCCGAGTGAGTCGTCACTTGTGTAAAATCTTGCGACCACGCGAAATATTCCTTCGTGTCCCTTTTCTTTTACGACTTTCACCGTATCCTAAGTTAAAGAAATATCCCTTATATTACGTTATAAAAAAATATCCGTTATTATATTTCCTCATTTTTTTCAGAATTTATATATTCAATATTTCACAGCAGAACTTCATTTTTTTTTAAGAAAAATAGAGTAATAATAGAGATCTAGATCTAGAAAAGCTATGGAAAGACGAAACTTGAAGATGATTTTGAAGGAAGAAGGGGCGTAAACTAATACGATTCGAATAAATCAAAGGGCAAATTATGAAACATTCGAATCGCACTCCGCTTAACGAATAGGATGAACTTTCGAGCAGGGAGAGGAGAGTTTAACCTAGTTAGAGCTAAGAACACAATCTGGCTCCTCGAGAGACAACCGTTAAGTTGTCAAGTTATAAGGAAATTGGCGATCGAGGAATGCGAATCGCAGAAAGAAAGGGTTCGTTGGTCGGAAAATCGCGACTTGTTCGAGGTTCAGAGGAAAGATCGATCGAAACGTCACCGGTTTAATTTCCTGCGACCGACTCACCAGATCGTAAACCAATGGAAAACAAAAATTACGCCAAGTTGAGCAAAAGGATTCGCGTGGATCGATTAAAATTGCATCCAAACACATCCAAAATTTCTCGTTTATTATATTGCATTTATAACGAAGCATTCCTTTTCTGTTAACGCAACAAGAAACGAATCCCTTCGTGTAATAAGCAAAAATCGGATGCAACGCGTGGGATAACCATTTACATCCGATAATTAGAATATAATAACTTTCTCGCCAAACTAATTTTCCCTCTTCTTTCTTTTCTATCACCCTCCATTATTTTTCACGCGCATCCATTATTATCACCGAAATATCGAAAAATTATGTAAAATCGTCGTCGAGAGGGAAACGGAAATTATTAGTCGACAATGTTACTCTTCGTGGAATAAAAACCAATTTCTGTTTGATCGCGTGACAGCTCGATTGAGATAGGAAATGAAAAGAGGGAGGGGCGAATCTCGGTGTACTCGAGCCGGATGCCGGAGATGATCGCGATCGGATGTCACGGCGGCAAGAAACGATGTGTAGCCGCAGGTAAATAAAGAGCAGGTGCATGCGGCCTGGGTAATTGTACGATGTATTTACGTAGGCATGCAGGGGTAAACGTTACATCCTGCGCCCGTATAATTCACGCCCTCGGTGTACGTACCCCCTTCTTCCATCCTCTTCCATTTTTCCATCGTTTCCCCATCCCCCTTTTTCTTTTCGCGCACCTTCCTCTGGTGTCCTTCCTATCGGATGGATAGGAGAGGAGAGGAGAGCCTCCGTGGATCCTCCTCCAACAGCAAACTGTTTTTTAGACGGGACCGTTTTGTATTCATAGGGTGCGCCCCGCGAGATAAGGGAGGGATGGAGCGAAGGTTGTTTAGCGAACCCGGTCTAAAAGTTATCTTGCTACGGTGACGGGGTGCATCGACGAGGAAAGGCCGCCAATTTCGAAGGGAGGAGGAGGACGAGCCTCGTGAAATTGAAAATTGCCCCTCTGCGAACTACGTTACGCGTGCGATTATGTATACAGAGATACGATACACGTTTATCGATCGTTGCGCCGGAAGGATCTTGCCGTTCTTTTCAATTCCTGATTAGAAAGGAGCGGCAACGTGATATTTCATGCAAATGCGGGAAGTGAATTTCTTTTTTATAAATATTTGAAATCCGTTCAACGAGTGGACGCGGATAAAAGAGATTACCTGTTCTGAAAGAGATTGCCTGTGTAGGCTATAAAATAGGAAAATGGCTATAGGACGCGGCGATCGTTTATCTTATACGTTTCTACGTAATTATAATACGCACGAAGCGGACAAAGTTTATTTACGAAACGGAGTCACGGAGCCGGGTATTTATCTTCGTGGAAGCGCTCGAAGCAAGCGGCGACGCGACGCATGTTAAAAACCGGGACACTCGAACGAGAGGCAATAAGAGATTCCTCTTGCTCTTTCGACCCCTCCCTTTCTTTCTCGAGCGCGTTCAACCGTTTCATTCCTACGTGGATTATCCCTCCTCCCCCTTTCCCCCTCTTCCACGTAAAAATTATTTGCGCTCCTTTTTTTTCTTTTTTCTCGTCGTAGAGACAAAAAGCGCGTTTCGATCGACGAGCGAGATTCGTTACGGCGCTTCTCACCGAGACAATTCGCCGTTTATCGCGAAGAAAAGTTGGATCGTTTCGCGCGCAATATCAAGTATCAAGCGCCGTCGGGAGTACAACCGAGATTGATTACGCCGATTACCGTATAATCACTGTCATTTGTCTTCTTGAGCACTATGTAAATTCAACTTTCACTGGCTCGCCAACGAGTGAGTAATGTTTATTTCGACATGTTATCGCGTTGATCCTTGACGTTCGATCCGCCTCGCGCTCGAGCTGCCGGAACAACAATTTATTTTAAAATACATATTCCCGTTGCGCTAAAAAAACAATTCGATAATAATTTTAGGAATTCTCGATTAACTTCATTTCAAAAATAATCGCCCGCGAAAAAGAAGGAATACATTTAATCAAAATTCCCTTTGAACTGTGCGCGCCAATCGGCAAATGAGAATAAACAGGAAAAATTCAAGGGAGCTAATCCCGCATTCTCGCCTTTCATCCCTTCATCTTCCGATCGTTTAACGAGGATGGTATTAACCGCGTTCGATTAATAGCCAAGTTTCTCTCAAAGGAGGAGCGCCGCTCCTTCTCACCCCTTTAGTCATCGTTAACACGCGCCGCTTCCAGCCATAAAACTTCCCCCGCCAGTATATTTACGCCAGTTTGCTCTCCCCCTCTCCCCGTGAAATTTAAGACGCGCTGTTTGGAAACGGCAATAAAGAACAATGGAAGCGGGTATTTTCCATAATTCCTTCACCGCCCGCCTGAGAGAATACGTTTAATTAGGGTGAATCGCGGAAAGAGAAGGAAGAGGCGTTCCTCCACCGAGGGAGAGAGGAGCCAGACCTCCTAACGAAGAAACGTTTGGTGTATTATACAAACTCTTTCCCCTTTCCCCCGGTTCATCATCGGCTAACACCGTTCGCGTCTCGTTCAACACCCTCGAATAAACGTCCTTTCTTCGTTCGAATTCGAATTCGTCGCCTCGAATTACGTCCCCTGTAAAGGGACACCCTCGACGACTTACCCCCTTTAAACTAAACGAGAAACGCAAAGGAGATACAATCTTCCTTCGTTGCGTAACGAGATCCCTCCTCGATGCTTCCTGTCCCCTCCCTGCTCGAGGCCATTGCCATCGAGGAAGGGAGGATCGACACTCTGTTCCTGGACCCGGTCAATTAGGGACAGCCTCGATCACCGACGTGGATGACGCGATGATCGATGCGAGGACGACGACTCCGCCTCGAAGCCGAAGCGGAGAAGTGGCGAGAACAGAGGCGAATTCGATTTCGAACGG